CAGTTTGGCAGCAGTCTGCGGGGCCCCGAATGCTTATCAGAAGTGCTTACAACCCACCTCACCCCCACCGCTGTGATGCCTCTGATATGGAAGACAATGGGTATGCGTGCGTAGAGGGAGCTTTCTTTAAAGCTTCAGTGAAGCTGACTTCATTTATTTTGCTCTTTTATGAGGTCAGGGTAGCCTGCTGATTGTATTTCATCACTGCATAGAAGTCAGACAGTCATAATAAACCTTAGAAGCAGTACAACCTTTGGAGGTAACATATCCCTTGTATTAGATGGCGGCGGTGGCGGCAGATGTATGTAGCTGTGCAGTCTCGCTGCAGGAAAATACATCCCATTTGGCTTTACAGGCATCTGCAGGTCTGTTTTTGACCAAATTTWCCTCAGCTTTAGTGTTGCTGTTACTCTGTATGCTACATAAACGGAAGATCAAAGACACAAATGACGGACATCATTTTCGAAAAACAACAGCACACAAGCGTCCCATGGCGTGTATACAAGCATCGACCATAAGTTATCCTAACTTTGGTAAATATCATCTACCTTGCCGGTTGGGCTGGTTTCTCCGGCTTGCTGTTTTTGTGGCGTGTCTCGGTGGAGTGGCGGATGTGGATGGGGTCCCTCGGCCCTCGAATTGTCCCTCGTGTTTGGACGGAGCGCCTGGGGTGGACTTGCAGGCCTGGACGCGTGGCGGTGGGAGCCGGGACGGAGCGACTAAGCTAACAAGTGTGATGTTTTGAATACACTCCAATCTCGAAATGGCTCACATGCATTTGACAAATATAAGATAAATATGGATTTCTTGAAAATGCATGCCAACACTTTTTTACCATTGTTTCATCATTTGCTTAATTTATGTATTGTGCAGTCTGTTTTCCCTGATGCCTAGAAGTTTGCTCAGATTACTCCCATTTTTAAATCTGGTGATCCAACAGAAGTTTCAAACTATCGGCCAATTTCTGTTCTTCTTATTTTTTTCGAAGTTACTTGAAAAAACATCATTTAATCAACTATTTCAGCATCTAGAAGCTAATAATACGCTAAGCAATAGCCAACATGGTTTCTGCACGTCAAGGTCAACCATGTCTGCATTAATTTTATTCACTGAACAAATACGTGCTGCTTTGAACAAAGGTCAAGTAACTGGTGCTGTATATACTGATTTTCGTAAAGCGTTTGACACAGTTGATCATTATACTCTCTACAAAAGTTGATTTCTTTTCAACTTTCATCATTTGCAATACAAATATTTTCCTCTTATTTGACTGATAGGTGTCAGGTTGTGAAACATAGAAGCTCTGTGTCCGGGTCTCTGCCCTGTTCCGTGGGAGTTCCGCAGGGTATCATACTGGGCCCAATGCTTTTCCTATTATACATAAATGACCTTCCAAAAATACTGAAGTATTCAAATATTTTAATGTATGCTGATGATACTGTTCTTTTTTTGTCTGATTTCAATATTGAATCTATTAGTAGTCAGTTACAAGCAGCTCTTCAGACATTTCATGGTTGGCTTCAAGATAATCTTTTGTCAATTAATGTTAAAAAAAACTGTGTGCATGTATTTTTCCTCACCCAGGAGACATTTTAATACAACAAATCAACTCACTTTTCTAAACAAACCCCTTGATATTGTCACTACCTACAAATATCTTGAAATTACTTTGGATTCTTATTTGACTTATCATGATCATGTACAAGTTTTACCCACTAAGTTAAAACAGAAATTATAYGTTTATTCAAAAATTAGATCCAATCTGACATCTTCTGTTTCAAATATCTATCTTCATGCCATTATACTCTCAACCATGTCGTACTGTTTAYCTGTTTGGTCTCTTACAACAAATGAAATCTTAGAACCCATAGTTAGGCTCTACAGCAGGGCCTACAAAATTCATAAAAAACTTCCTGGTTGGACTCATCACTGTACAGTTCTTTCATTGTCTGATGCCTTGACTTTTCAGAATTATGTTTTATATAGTGGTATTAATTTATATTTTCAGATCTTCCAAGGTGCCAATTATGGAACTCTATGTGCATAACTGCCCAAATCAAATTCTAGAAGTGGTCATTCAACTAGATCTGTTACAAAAGGACAACTGATATTACCAACTTTTAAAAACTGTTACGGCCAGAGGTCTTTCTTCTATGTTTATACTAAAGCATGGAATGACATTCCTCAAAACATAAAGTCCATTTAAAAACTACAGTCCTTTAAGAAGAATCTTGTCTGCCATCTGCTGGACACTTTTTGTTGTGCTCATATTTAGACGTCTTATTTTGCAAATGCTGCCTTCCTGAAATTTGGTATGCTTGTTTGTCTTTGTATCTGTGGTGTATAATTATGTAATTGTGGTGCTGTAATTCTGAGTGTTTTATGTGCTGCAGAACAGGAACCTGCTGTAAAACAGCAATTATGCTGAGTCAGGCTTGATTGTTAATAATCTTTTCCTGTTAAACAAATAAATCAAAATCAAAATCAATTAGGAGAATGCTGGACACACTGAACCTGGTTAAGTCAATATTTCCTTCTTTGAACGTGAAATCAGTTCTGTCTCGGAGCTTGATCAAAGTTTTTTTGTCATGGTTTCAGAAAACAAACAGCTTTTATGACTGGACTCGGAACAGAAATTCCACCGTTTCTGCTTCCTTTTGTGATCCTGTCTTTGTATTGAATTTGGGGTTAATTGCCCAGCCGGAAGCAGCTGYGAAGGCCACTGGAGTTGCAGGTGAGCTTTCGGCAGCTCTCCCACATCAGCCTCCCACACAGCTTTGTGCTGCTTCCAGTGAGTGTTCCAAAAACGAGACTGAATGAGGTCCCGACAACAATGAAAAGACAAGGCTCCTGAAAGCAGCCAATAACATGGCTGACACTCAAAAAAACAAAAACAAAAACAAAAAAAAAAAAAGCAATTGCGTTGCTTAAAACGGGACATTTGACCTCCTTGGGTCATAACAAAAAAGTTCTGAATAAACACAAACTGCTGTTCGTTATTCGGCGGGTGTCAGTTATCTCAGTGGAAGTGAATGTTGAGGTAAACCCATCCGATGGTTTTGGGTGGAAACAGAAAACAGTCGATGTGGTTTACTGAACAGCAGAAGTTTTGGTTTCATATTTAGCTAACGCGGGGTGGGGCCCTGCAGAGGGGTTTAGTGGGTTCTGCGAATAACGTTTTTATCCTGTAGCTGTTTACAGCATTAATTATAAGCAGTAAAACAAAAGTGCCAGATAAGTTGCTAAACACAACAGTATGAAGAAATCACTTTTTATATAAATATCATCTGCTGGTGAATAATGAAGGCGTATCCATATGTGGCTGTGTGTGTATCTGTTAACAAAACATCACACCACCCACCGGACAGATTTTAATGACCCTTTCAGGATAGTTCAACATCTAYGGCTGTGTCTAAATTCAGGGGTTGCAGCCCACAGGGGGTATTTGTTAGTCTACACCGCGCTGTACGCTGTCCTAATTTATAGTCTTGTGGCTGACAAAACCCCAAAATATAGGCTGCAGAGCATCCATGCAGCAKATGGTATCCCAGGATTCATTGAGCCATCAGCGTTTTTTTTTTCTTCCCTGCAGAGTTTTGGAAATTTATTTTGGCCCAAAGAACTCGTTTAGCAACTTAACTGATGAAATCTTTGCTGCAATGAGATGTTAGTGTACGAATACTGGAGCTAAACRCAAATTATTATATTTTATATTTACTTGTTGGGTTGTTTTTTAAAATACTGCATTTTACCTACTGTAAAACCAAGCGTTCCAACTGAAGATGTTATATAAAACATGACACAATGGAAGCAGGGCAGTGCATGGTCACACAAACATATGCCATCTGAAGACTAGACCGTCTTATTTCACACTTGTTTTATGCAGCCTATGGAATGCCTTATACACCCCACATAGGTTATGGTCCAAACAATTCAATTCAAGATGGCTATATCAACACAAGTTCACACAAAAATGGGTACAAGTTGATTTTACAGATATTGAGTTAAAAAAATGTAATGTGGTGGTAGCTGAGAGTTTATCGTTATTCATACTCTGACTGTGACATTTTGCAACATCACATGACATTAAATAATAATAACGATGGACTTTTAAATCACATTTTTAATAACACAATTCAATCACCAGCTCTATCAAAGTAGGAAATTAAATCAATTTGTTTGGAAGACAATACAATCATTCTTGATATCACAAAATCTGTCATGATACAGTTTTAATTCAGTTCAAATCACAAGTCTGCAAATGACCTGATATTGATAATTATCAGTCATGACAATATGGATTGGTGTTTTTGTTTGCCTTGTTGCTATTAAATCATTAATCATTTATTCTATATATCAATGGGAATCAATGTTTTTTCTCCTGCCAACATATAACATATATGTACACACCTAACAACTACATAACTTATTATGTAACTTACAGGTACATGAGGAAGAAAGTTCAGATATATTTTCATTGTTATGGGAAATCAAGTAAAAAAAAAAAACAAAACAAAACAAAGTCTTAAAAAACTACAGATAAAGAAAAAAAACATAAATCACTGACTAGCTGAAATAATTAAGTGCAACAGCTATTAAAACATGTTAATTTTTGTTTACAGCTTCATGAGGTAAATCAAATCTGCAATATTTTAATTTCATGAAACTAAACCTTGTTACAAACGTTTTTGAATTGTTTCATATAATATCATTCAAGTTTCCAATTCATGAATGTCACTAAAAAAATAAACAAKAGGTTAATAAGGTTATAAATTATACAGACAAGACAGATTTGATATATGTTAACAACGCGATGTTGAATAAAATTTGCATTAAAGTATCTGAAAAAGTCTTTGCAGGTTAGAAGGAAACATTTCTTTTCTCCCCGCATCGAAACTGCCCTGGCAGGGCGCCGTTTTTCCACGCTTGATGCCATGTCAGTACGCATCCTGAAGTCCAGCCCAGAGGCGTAGCTCCGGACTGTGAACAAGTGCGGGTCGAGACACGCACTCAGTTCAGGAGACGGAGAGGAGAGGYACACACGCTTTGAGCTTTTGCAGCAAAGCTTAACTTTAAACAGGGAAAGTGACTGAAAACGAATCTGTTCTTCAGAAGAGAAGAGAAAGAGATTTTAAACGAATAAAAGCAGGTAAGCTGATGTTGGATTTAAAAAAGTGAAGCTTTTTGGCTTTTTAACAGAGATGCTCCACATGCACCGCACTTATATTGCTCATAGTGAAAACTGTAAAACTGTTAAATATTTAGAGTAAAAGCTTTACTGCGATTGTTTTAGTTGTGATTTTGTCGATTTMTTTCTATTGTGTTCCACGGTTTGTTTGCCTCCATTCAAATCTGAAGTCACACAACTGTGAGCTCACATCAGATAACCCGTTTGTTTACAGCTTGGTATAAACCAACAAAGACTACAATAACATTGTATGTATTTACCGTCCGCAGCAGCAGCAGCAGCAGCASCAACAGTCTCCTTCGGTTTGGCGCTCATGCGTAAAAACGCACAAGAATGCGCCGCTTCGCCAGTTATCTACGCGGAAACGCAGCGTCCTAGATTGTTATCCTTAACCAAAAAGCCTGTTGATCGAGACTGACAGGAGAAACTTCTAACAAACACTTGCGCTGTTTGTGTCGGAAGCGTTTTGGCACGAAGCTGTTTTATTTTTTATTTTTTTTGTGTTGAGAAACAARTGACGTTTGAGCGTTCTTTGTGACAAGATAACAGAGGGCAGGAAGAAATGCAGCCGGAGAGAGATGTGGACTTCACGTGCTGCCTGTGTTATCTGATGGTGAAGGGTGTTAAATGATTGAAGCCACCTGGCACCTCCAGGTTTTTCCATATAATGCAGGGAATTAGGAACMATTGTGGGAGGATTATCTCTGCGCTGATAATCCTCACAATCTAAATAAATCGCAGGATATCAAAAAAATATTTTGAATTAGACCACAACAAACAGCTTTACTACAAAGGGGCGGTAACAAAAATATTTAATAAGCTACATTTAAGTTTTAACATCATTTTTTTAATCAGATATATCAATTTAGTTGAAGACTTATTTCAATTGTAGTAGATTTCCTGTGAATTGCATGAACWCTGGATAGATTCAGGTAATCAGGGATATTTTTATGTTGCAAAACGTGCAAAATGCTTGAAAAAAAATCTGTGATTTATCAGAGTGAAAATATGGCAATACAGTAGTTTTCCCTCTTTAGCAAGAGTGAAGAACAAAATTTAAATCTCTTTGCGAAATTTATGTTTAAAATCATCTTTGATGTACCTTCAGCATTTTTAACCWCTTCTAAATGTCAGTATACATGCTGCTAACTGTTTAAAGTAATTCACATTCATGGATGTTTATCAAATGCTGAGTTTTAAAAGTTATGTTCATGAAAAAAGAGGATTAAAGTAAACAAACGTTGGCAGATACCAAACACAGTCTATCACTCGGCAGCTGCGTATCTTAATATGTTCCAGGTGTCCTTTATCCTCTGTGACTTTATGCCCGATATTCTGCTTACAGTAACAGTCTCCCACACAGACAGATGTCTGACATGGTCACATTTCACCGCTCTCCATCATGTCGTGGCCAACCGGAGATCAGTRACCCTGTTTTTAACCTCGGCTGGACCCATTTCGCAGGCGGCGAGCCTCCTGCTGGCCTCAGCRCACAATTCACTCTGTGGGTGCACAAGTCAAAGGGGCAGCGGCGGGGTTAAGCCACTCGTGTTCTGGTTTTGATCCATCACCTCTGACCTYTGACCTCTCACACTGTGACAGGCTGACTGTTAGCTGAGAGAGACATTGCAGCAAGACATTTCAAACGCAGCCGTGATTCAGGAGCTCATCAGGCTCAAAGAAGCTTTAAGTTCCAGGATGTTCCAGTCTGCTACTTTTATAATTTTGGTGTGTAGCTTCAGTCACCTTCCTCTGTTTGAAACGGTGTGCCTGCGTTATGAGATTCAGATGTTGTAAAATGACGTATTCGAGGCTGTGAAGCAGCCTTTGCTTTGATCATCTGGGCGGCGACAGTTGATCTCGCACCCTCTCTTTTCCTGCTTCACGAGCCGAGAGGAGACAGGGGGATTCGTTGTTTTACAATAACAAGCATCCAAAAGGAAAGGGAAAAAAAAATCTTTAAAGAGGCATCGGGTTTCCCACCATGAGCGGCGCTTTATCTCGGAATGCCCTGAATGTTTCGGAAACACGGCCCTGTTTGGGTTTCTTGATCCCACTTCCCCGTGTCCAGTCTGCACTCGGTGCCAATAGAGCAAAGGTAAACATTTATTGTGCAGCTCCCAGAGCGCACATCAATCACTGAAACGCCCTCCGTTTATGACACGATAACAGAGCAACGTTATGAACTCACAAAAGCAGTGTTTTAACAAGTTGACTGCATTASGATTCTTCGGGGTCTGGTGGCATACCTCAAGAGGGTTTAGGTTTTATTAGCTCAGCAGGTTCACATTGGTAAAATAAGTCAATCAGCTGAAAACCGTTTCTTAAATAAGCAGAAGGCTTAAAATAAAACTGTTACCATTTCTCTGTATATCAAGATGAATGTATGTTACGAAAATGTAAACATTCTTATGCTTTCACAGGATTCTCCCCAGTCTGAGGTGGTGTCTGTTTCCTCCCAGTGTTTTGCAGTCCCCTCCCAGAGCTGAAAAATGAGTCTAAGCGCCAGTGAACTGGAGGACTTGTGGGAGTCGTTCGGGGACCTGAACTTCTCCGACACCTTAAGCAACATATCAAGGGTGGACTCGATGGTGTGCGTCACAGCGTTTAACCGCAGTGCTCTGCTGTACTCCATGTGCGTCCTCTACTCTTTCATCTTCGTCGTCGGCYTGGCCGCCAACGCTCTGGTCCTCTGGGTCAACATCCGCGCTCAAAGGGACTCCAGCCCTCGGCACGAGACGCACACATACATCGCTCACCTGGCGGTGGCAGACCTCTGCGTCTGCGCGACTCTTCCCGTGTGGGTGAGCTCGCTGGCCCAGCACGGCCACTGGCCGTTCAACGAGGTGGCGTGCAAACTCACGCACCTGATGTTCTCCGTCAACCTCTTCAGCAGCATTTTCTTCCTGGCCTGCATGAGCGTGGACCGCTACCTGAGCGTGAAGCAGCGCGGGGAGGAGGGAGGCGCTCGCAGGAAGCTGATCCGCCGTGGTGTGTGTTTTGGGGTGTGGCTTCTGGCTCTGCTGGCCTCCATTCCGGACACCTACTTCCTGCGGTTGGTGAAGTCGGCGCACGGGGACACCATGATCTGCAGGCCTGAGTACCCAGAGGAGAGCCACAGGGAGTGGATGGTGGGGGTGCAGCTGAGCTTCATCCTGATGGGCTTTGTTCTTCCCTTTCCAATCATTGCAATGTTTTATGCCCTGCTAGCTCGAGCGTTCTCCCACTCCTCCTCCTCCTCCTCCTCGTCCCCCGTGGAGCAGGAGCGCCGTATGAGCCGCAGGGTGATYCTGGCCTACATTGTGGTGTTTCTGGCGTGCTGGGGGCCCTACCATGCCGGCCTCCTGGTTGACGCWCTGGTGCAGCTGGGACTGGTGCCCCTGACTTGCGGCTTTGAGAACGTGCTCTTTGTGGCTTTACATCTCACTCAGTGCCTGTCTCTGCTCCACTGCTGCTTCAATCCCATCCTCTACAACTTCATCAACAAAAACTACCGCTATGACCTCATGAAGGCCTTCATCTTTAAATACTCCACTCGGACTGGCTTGGCGCGACTCATCGAGACCACAAACGTATCGGACACCGAGTATTCAGCTGTGGCTGTTGAAAACCCACCACTGATCTGAAGCGCACGCTCTAAAGGACTCTTTGCAGTAGCTGATTTGCTCTTTCCACTAGCATCTATTTGACAGAAATCTGCTTTAGATATAGAAAAACTTGAAGACTACAGTTGATCATCTCTGATAGACTGATTAAAAAGCACTTAAAGCAGTTTATGATAGCAGCTGATTTTTAAATCATATTCATTTACTCATTTTAGAGTTGTAAAGCCAAAACAAGACTGTAAATTGTATGAAGTCATGTAGAAATGTATTGTGTGTGCGTTGGTGCGTGATGCATAATAATAGTATTAGTTAAGTAATATCTTTGTATCTAATTGTATTTATACTGTATATGTTGTACATTTACACTGTTTTGCCTCTGTCGGGTTGTATTGCAAAATCTTCGCACATTGATGTTGTACAACATCACCTCATTGTTTTTAGCAAAGCCACTGACTGGCTTGGTGCTTTAGTCCTGCTGCCTTGTTTCAAATCAAAACCTCATTCTGCATCAGCTGAAGCCTTCAGAAATATATTTTTAAACTCAAAATGTTTTTAGTCATTCAAATTCACGTTTTGCCTCRAAGCTAATTGCTTAGTATTTATCTTAGCCTAGCATTTTAAATCAGTGGTTTGCATCTTTTAAACTCAGCTTCTGTAAAAAGAAATGGTTATGAACAATTTGAAACAGCTTTTTCAGACCAATGAACTAATGCGGGGCCAAAATCAATATTGATTTCTGCCACTTTAAAGCCACTCCAGTCTGAAAGATTTCTTTTTTATATTTTATAAACCTTCCTTTTTACATTAAATGCTTATTTTTTTAATAGATTTATGTATTTTTTTCCCATTAGGAATGAATATTTGTAAAAAAAAAAAATAATTGGAGTTATTTTGACAGAACAAGAATATATTTTGGACTTGTCTGCACGTTAGCTGTAATAAACCTTTTGAGTTATTTAATGTTTATAAATTTGTTCATAACTTTTCCACAGAGCCCAACTTCAAAATATCTGTACGCTTTAACTCTCGTATTTTCTTTAAATCTAAAGAACTGCAAACGTTACCTGTCGGCTTCACCTGAGACTACTGATCYTGAAGTGCAAATACATGAACCTCCCAGCGAAACTGAATCCAGTTTTATTACATAAAACATTATCCTGTACTGTGTCAGTAATTCATATCAGTGCCAACTGTGGCAGAGCTGCACACATCCATGTGGAATCAATCCAACTGTGTCACCACACAGACCACCGACGGCTCCGATTTTATGAGCTAATAACCAATGAATCACTTTCTTCTTCCAGTGCAGGCAGCAGCTGTGGTGCGCAACATCCCAACATGTTTTGTTTGAGACCAAATATTGCAAAAACATCAATGTCTTAGAGTCCCGTGTGCACGAACCAAAGCTTGAAACCAAGAGATGATGTTTTATGTGTCATTGAGTTTTAATTCACTGTGTTGTTTTCTATGCAGACACAGAGGACATTTTGTTTGTGTGACTGATTACACAAACATGTTTTTACAATGAAAAGGTTTTACTCTTAGTGAAGAGTAAATGGTTATACAGAAAATGAGGCATTCCTTTGACACACTATGTGTAACGTGTTTTGTAAAAAATAAATACAGCGAAAATGTTTTTGTCTCTGTTTTTTGTCAAAGTAGTTTTACAGCTTTAGTTTTTATTGCAGAAAGACACCAGACAGCATGCTTAAAAAAGAGTTATTTGAATGTTGATCTGAAAAAAAAAAAAGGTTCAGCTTCATGGTTTAAGCCGTTAACTTCGGGCAAAACAAACCCWAAAAGCATCACGTTTCATCTACAAACACGAACACGGCAGTATGTCTTTTTGTGGTTTATTTCGGCTGTCATGAAATGTTCAATAAACTTTATTCAAGTCATGGTACAGTGACTGAAATTTAAGGGGAAACAATACAAATTATCCAATTACTGAAACATTAGATAGCATTGACGTAGAAAAGTCTTTTTAAAAGGGACAATGTAAACGTCGGGGACTGGCTTTAGTTTGTTGCAGAGAAACAAACAAGCAAAATATTTTGCAGATGAACATGTTGAAATGTTAAAATGATCTTTGTGCCAACTTTATTTTTGCTTTTGAAATTAGAGCAAAAATAAAAACAYRTTTTTTCTACTTTGTTACCCCTTACCTACATATTTTCAGCATTTTGGCTTCTTGAGAAAAATAGTCACATTATCATACCCTGGAGATACAATAGTTGGCCGACTAGCTGGAGGAAGGTTTGCATTAAAAAAAAAGAGGCTCAGCAGTTGTTTACAATCCTGCCACAGTGTTACAGGTTACCCTGTGAAGGGAATTTCGAAGGCCACACTGACTAAATGACCTGCTAACGATACCTCTCCGGCTTTCTTTCTCTTTCAAACCCAGCCTTGATCTCACAGCACTCCTGTGTGCTGGCCTCCCTCGCCTTTTTTTTTCTTGTGTGAATTATTTTCCCAGCGTGAGACCTCCTCATTTGACCCCGTCAAAACCTTCCTACGGCTCTTTACAGGTCAGTGAACCTCAAACCGACTCGTATGCAATGAATGCATAGGCTCTGTAGCTGGCAGAATGCCGGCTCCTTTTCTTTTGAAAGTGATCACCATGCAAACAGCTCTAAAGAAAGAGTTATGGGTCCTAATTAGGCCCATCTGCYTCTGAACTTTGATGTTCTGTAACTTGATTAAATGCAAACAGGTTTTTAGAAAATGTCTTTATATATAGGAGCTATCATTGTTTGGGGAACTTTAGAGGAGAGA